CTCGCAGTCTTCACTACCAAGTGATAAACTAAATTATCTATCTTTTTAATTAGTTCTGAGACCTTCTTACTGGAATTAGAAATTTCTCCTTATTATTGTTTAGATTCCAACTAACTGATCTCCGTCGTGGTAACGTGATTGCTGCTGGTATCCAGAAACCCTACTGCCCCGAAACAAACGTATTCATTTAAATCACGGGACATACAAACTCACAAGTAACTGCCAAATGACTAAAATTAGACAGTCGAGTGGCTAGATCCCCATCAATTGGACACTACCAAACACCTGGGAGGATACTCAAAGAACAAGAATCGAGCGCGAGGAAGTCAATTGGTTTATACTTGCTCGTGAAAACAATATTGGCTCACTTTGTGTGAAGTCTCTGTGTAACATTGTATGCTGTGGTTTTAGGACTTTTATGAATGTCAATCAACACTGATATAACACCTCACACTCGCGTAACGGATTTGAAACTTTACGATACCAACTTATATTTCTTATTATCACTTTGTCTAGTCTCATGCTTGTGTTAGTTCTGAATTTCGGTGATTGGTTTCTCTATTGAAAGTAAGTCCATTCCATGTGGTCACTGAGTCGTCATCCCTCATTTTCGCTTGTGTTTTCCACCCCTGATAACTTCGCATACTGCCCTTAAAATTGCCCAGCACACAAGTTACTTTCAGGCTAAACGCAAACTTATCAAAAGCAGAAATGACACTCGATCTTTTAATAATATTCCCTTTGAGTAAACGATTCTGTGTTTGCTCCGAAGGTGGGTAATGCATTTTTGATAAAAATGTTAGTGAAATTACAGTATAGTGAAGTTCTTTAACAACCTGTCGGCTAATCAAGACACGCTGCCTACTTACCATATCTCATCACTTAATGAAAATTTTTTTACCGATTTCGGGGAGGCTCGAGCAGTTAACTTTAGTTAATGTCTAAATATCCCCATCGACTTTAGGGAAAATCCAGAAATTCCTGGAGAGATAAAGAATTTATTCAAAATTTTAACTAACCTTGAGAAGCATCGGGACTTTTATTGTTTCGCGAAAAAACCTCAAAATAAACTAGACATTTTACTCAAGTCATGCATTTAGTAAATTGCTGCCCAGACTTTTTACATTACATAGAATTTCTCTCCTTTTTGCAGTTGATTTCGGAAACTATGTATAACTGTTTACCCACAATGATAAACGCATCAAGTAGCCTATACTTCATAGTCAGTCAGTCAGTCAGATGCAACGTAGAACTTCGTACGTAAGTACATCAGTTCATGTCACCATACCACATCAGCACAGAGATGTAATTGTCAATTCAAATCCAATAGTAGAAGAGGTAGTAAAGGTATTAGGAGTAATCGGAGAGGTTAGGATTAGAAGATATTATTCAAGAAGTATGATTCAGTGAGAAAAGTTTAGAAAGTCAAAACTAGAGTTGTTGAAGAACCCAGAAGATTAGGACTTGAGAGAACACAAAGCATAAATGCACCGGCGCCATTGCGAACGATTTTGAGCCATGTCATTCAAGGTCTCTAACCATCGATTATTATCATCTCGCAGACCCCAACCAGGTAGTCGACAATTACTGACATGGCTAAGTCCACTCGTCAATGACTTCATGGATTTCTGCCATGTTTTGGTTTGGCCGTCCTTAACTTTCTTCCAACCTATTCCCACACTACAAAACATAGCTCGTCGAGGTAGTCGGTGGTTAGGCATACGCAACACATGTCCCAACCACCTCAACTGATGAAGTTTCAGCACTTCATCTATTGATCTGCCATCCTTACCTAGTAATCGTTTCCTAATGACAGCATTGCTTACTCGGTTGTCCCGGTTGTAACACTGACTTACTGCAAATCGTTCGGTAGGATTTATTGTTACTTATATCCAGTTTGCTTTTCGTCCCATGTACTTTACTTACTTACGCGTTATCCCCGATGGGGCATAGGCTGCTGACCAGCATTCTCCAACTTATTCTGTCATGGGTCTCCCTTTCCAGTTTTGTCCAATTTTTGTTTCCCGACCGTCGCTACTACATTGTCGTGATGGTCAGGCTTGCCAATCGTGATGACCCAACCGAGCTATATTGGCTGAAACATATGTTTCTGTAGGTCCTACTATGACATGTAGGTCGACTGGAGAACGATGAGACTAAAAGCAGCTACTCAAGGTCTGAGGGCGAAGTCTTAAGGCCAGCTGTACAGAGATGTGACAGCATTTGGATGTTTCCCTCGGACAACCAGCATTTGCAGCGATGCTGCCTTCTCACAAGGAAAAAGGGGGTTAAAAAGAGTCGACCGCAAAAATGTCACATCTCACTTCACTTCATGGAATTCCGTCACTGGTGGTAGGGCCTTTTAAAAAGAGCGGAGCTAACACTTAAAAAACTCATAAAAATGACGTGCATTACCGGCCTTAAGCAGTTGTCCCTTGGGCTCTGTGGTCACGCTACAAGGTCTCTAAGACTGACTCTAATCTACCTCCCTTTTCAGGTTCCTTACAGAACACCCTTCCACGGTGTGGGCAGCCAGAAAGTGACATCCACCCTCATTCCCGTAACAGCACACGAGGCCAAATCGGTGACAATCAAATCCTTCCTATATCTCCTAACATATCTCTTATCGCCATAACTCACTCCTCTCACATCCCTTTATCACGCTGCACCGCTAATGCAAACGATTCGAGTTCACGAAACGTTATCCCTGGTCTCCTGAAACCCCGTACTAAACTACATGTTGAGCTTTTAATGCCCGAACATTGTGTCAAATGGGGCAATAGGATTCTTTAGATCGGACTTAAGAATCTCTCGCCATCGATGTATGCTGCGTTTTGGAAACGCGCAAACAGGGTCTGAGTAGAGTCATTCATTTGACCTCACCATATCAAAATAAAGAAGCAGCATGATTTAACCCTCGTGTATCTGGAAGCCCTGCTGCTGCTTTCCGTGGCCTCGCCGGTGTAGGTATAGTATTAAGTCCTAGGACAGGAATAGCTCTTTTAGACTGGTAGGTAGTCGCTTGTACGCTATTCGACAAAACGGGACAGTAAGGACTAGGAAAGATAGGGACACTCGCTGTTGTCTCTTTGTCGTGTCTGCCTACGCTCCCACTGACTGCATCTCGTACAAGATAAAAGATGAGTTTTAAGAAAGCTCTCAAACCTCCGCTTTAGTGCGAGTGCGTATTTGATTGCCACCCACTGGACGTAGGAGAGACACTGCAAGGAAATCTCTTAGGGTTCTACTTAATGATAGCATAGCTAAGAATATATTTCAGAAGCAACTGGCCATGATAGTGATTTCCACCCCGAGGTAGCTTGGAACTATATCCAAAAAGCCGCGGAAACAGCAGTGGTATCTGCTATTAAGGTAAACCACAAGGTTAGAGAGAAGCCGTAGATCGCAGTAGCATCCACCGAACCGATAGATGCTCAAAAAATCATCCCGCCCGGCTCTGAACATGACGAAGAGCGAAGTGCAGGCTGATTAAAAGCCTACTCAATGATCGCGAACAGTGGTGAGTAACGAAAGCGAATGAGATGGTAAGGGCAGCGGCAACTGGTAACAGTAGACAACTGTTCCGACTTATCAAGGGAACTGGTGCTAGGAATCCGACTGTTAGTAAAACTATCTCGGAAAATGATGCGACTGTTATTCATTGTCAATCCAGGAGATCGGATCGATATGGGCATAATACTTTACGGATCAATTCTGGGAACTGGATGTAATTCCATCCGACTGGTCTCAATCAGACTGCCCAAGTCTATAAGAAAGGTCAGAAGTCCTCTTGTGACAATCACAGAGGAAACAGTCTAACCAATATGGTGTCTAAATTGTTAGCTTCGATAATACTTAGATGCCTAACTAGAGCTCGTGAAGAGCAGACTCAAGAAAACCAGTCTGGTTTCACACCTGGACGTGGCTGTATAGACCACATATTCACGCCACAACACACACACACATTCAGGCATCCGACAATAGTTGTCTTCCTGAAGCCCAAAGCGGCATTTGACTCCGTCGATCGCGAGGTTCTATGGCCGTCTGTCAATAAATAAAAGGTGTACCAGAGAAGTACGTTAACCTTACATAGGCTCTACTCGAACAATACTGGCCGAATTAGAGCTTATGATGAACGTTTTAATTGGATGGATTTTTCGTTTGCTTAACGATTTGGAAGCAAACTACATTCTTTGGGTTTCGGTTTTCTATTTAGGGCAAGTTCCTTTTGCTTTCGAGCCTTTAGTGGATAACATTAAACTCCAACGTTTTTGACAAGCTTATAGCAACAGCACTTCTGTTTCCCGTGGTTTGCTAGCATTCATAACGGTACTTACGCCTGTTACCCCAAAGGGGTATAGGCCGCCCACCAGTATTCTCAAACGTACCGCAATGGCACTAGCTTCCTGTTAACAAATCTTCGTGCCTATAACGTCGGACCTTTTCTGAGTATAGGTTCCTTCAGTACTCATGTTCCTAAAAGTTATCGAAGTGAGTGATTTAAATGGAGTATGTAATTAAAATGTTGCGACTAAGACAGATACCTCCATCTGCGCTTCTGCTGTCCATTTTATGCAGTAACAACTAAATCTCAGGGATTAACACATGTGATTTAAGACCTAGATTTTTTCGTTGATTTGCACCTTATCTACTCCACAAGTAGATCGATAAAAGAAAATCAGTATGTTGTTGCTCTTAAGATTATGCATCATGATAACATTTGGTTTGAGTCCTGTCGTTTTCACTGCAAGAAACTTTTATTCACCATTTCGCCTATTTCGTAACTGTTACACATACGTGTATGGTGTTTTGGGTCTGAGCATATGGAGTTTATTGTATGGAGTATGGTTTAAGTGGGAACCATCATATAATGTGTGACCATTCCTTAAATTTGTTTTTGTTTAATCTTGGTTGTTTGCAGATTCTAAATTTTTCGTTCCATAGACTTATTTTTTCAATATAACATACTTCTGTAGTTTCAGTGACTGTCTCCAATTAATATGGCCGATTTTTGGAAAAGTAATCCAAAGAAGTATTGTGAATTATGTAAATGTTGGATGGCTGACAACAAAATTGTAAGATGCCAATTCCTTTACACTATTACATATATGCTTTGAACAGAGCGTTCAAAATCATGAGAATGGTATGCGTCATAAGGCCAGTGTGGCTAAAAAGGTCAATGAATTAACCCGTAGCAACAAATGTGCTGAAATGGAAAAGAAGAGTTTAGAGGCGTGTTTACAACAAATAAACGATGTAATTATCTTCAATTTCAAGTTATCCTTTTAAATACTCAGAATGCCCATTTAAGCATGATGAAAGATCTAGAAAGAGACCCTTCATTGGCAAAACAGTACGGAATCGTACTAGCAAGTAAATTCTTGTTTCACGTTTTATTTAGAATTCGAAGAACCGTTACATGCAGAAAACGTGAGCGAAGAATCTTCTAGTAAAACACGAAATTCAGCTACCAATAAATCTCATTCTGATCAGCCTAGTCGTGTAAATATTTGGAAGGAATCAATTACCCCAGATGGTAAACATTATTATTGGAATGTGGCCACTCGTGCTACGCAGTGGACACGGCCAGATGGTATTATAACACAAGACCATCGACCCGTGAAAGAGGAGAAAACGCGACTAAAAGAATTCGTCATAAATCGCCTTGTAGAGTTAAGCGAATATGGATCTAAAGGCGCCAATGAAGCTGTACTGCAAGTGTTCAATGTACCTACATCAGACATAGAGCCTATCATAGAAAAAGCGTCAAATAGCACATCTGACGAAAAGCCCAAGAGTGTAGATCCAACACCTATTAACTTTCAAGGTCCACAAGTTGACTTACTTGGTCCATGGGTTCCTTGTGACGATCCGTGAGTAGTCTACAAACGTTTTTAAACTATTAAACTAAGTGTATTTAACATAGTTTATAGTTTGTGTATGCGTGTATGTGTACGTGTGCGTCTACGTGTTATGAGTTTGTTACGTATGCACGTAAACACGTCAATTTGATATGCTTGAACTATGACGAGTTCACCTTAGTCGGAAAATAGGAGTGAAGATCCGTCGACACAACATGCTACTCTAATCCGAGTGTCCCAACCCACATTAAGTAGAAGAAGATTTGATGTGAAGTAGAACCTGTATTCATGTTTTGACTGGTGAAAGTACATTATATACTTGAAAACTTTGAATAAGTTATAAGTTCAATTGAGAGACAATGCTTAGTTATAAACTAAATTAACAATAATGTGGTGTACCTAGATCTAAACTGACCACTTGAGTCAGATGATAGGAGTAGAAGAGAAATTCTACTTGACCAACGAATCATTTCTTACTCCTGTTATCCCTTATGAAGCATAGGCCGCTGACCAGCATTCTCCAGCCTACTCTCTGTTTGGGTATTTCTTTCCAGTTCTATCCAAGTATTGTTCATTCTTCTCATGTCTGCTTTCAATTCCCGACGTAATGTGTTCTTTGGTCTTCCTCATCTCCTTTGGCTTTGAGGTTTCCAAGTTAGAGCTTGTTTTTTGACGCAGATGGATGCTCTCGTCAATGTGTCCTATTTACTTCCAACGCTTCTTCCTAATTTTATCCTCCATTATGATGTGGTTTGTTTTTCACCACAGTAGGTTGTTACTGATGGTATCTAGCCAGCAGATCGGCAGTGTCTTGCGTAGACAACTGTTGATAAATACTTGTATCTTCTGGATGATGGCTTTGGTAGTTTTCCAAGTTTCCGCCCCGTACAGTAGAACTGTATTGACATTTGTATTGAAAATTCTAACTTTGGTGTTTGTTAATAGTTTTTCTAACTTTCAGATATTGTTCAATTGTAGAAATGATGCTCTTGCTTTGCTGATCCGCGCCTTCACATCTGCATCAGATCTATCTTGTTCATCAATGAAGTCGCCTAGATATGTAAAGGTTTTCACATCCTCCAAGGCTGCTACCTTGACGTGGTGATTGGGCTTGACTATCGTGATGACCCAGCCGAGCTATACTGGCTGGAACATATGTTCCTGAAGGTTCTACCATGCCAGGCAGGTCGTTTGGAGAACGATGAGACTGAAAAAAGCTACTCAAGGTCTGAGGGCGAAGTCTTACTGCTGACTGCAGAGGGGTGTGACAGCACTAAGGTGTTTCCCTCGGACAACCAGCATGTGCAGCGATGCTGCCTTCTCACAAGGGAGGAAGGGTTAGAAAAGTTCAACCGTAAAAATGTCACACCTCACCCTACCTCACGGATTTCCGTCTCCGGTGGTAAGGGTGCCCACTAAGGGCTTTCAAGATCGGAGTTAATACTCTCCTGAAACCTCGTTCTAGACTACATGTTGGAGCATTTAATGTACGGACATTGTGTCAAATAAGGCAACAGGCTTCCTTAGCTAGGACTTTAGAATCTCGCGCCATCGATGTATGCTGCGTCTCGGAAACGCGCATACAGGATCCTAGTAAAATTAATAATCTGATTTCACCTTGTCAAAATAAAGAAGCAGCTCGATTTACTATTCTTGTATCCGGTAGCCCTGATACTGCTTCCAGGGGTCTTACTGGCGTAGGTATAGCATTGAGTCGTAGAGCTGAACAATCTCTCCTAGACTGGATCCCTGTAGATAGTCGCTTGTGCGCTGTCCGACTAAACGGGACAGTAAGGACTCGGAAAGATAGGGACACTCGCCGTTGCCTGCTAGTAAGGTTGACCATGAGGCTAGAATGAAGCCGTGGATCTCAGTAGCATCCAGTGATCTGACGGATGCCCGAAAACGCATCCCACCTGGCTCTGAACATGATGAAGAACGAAGTCAACTTAGGCGCAGACTTATAAAAAGCCTGCGTAACGACCGCGAACAGTGGTGGGTGGCGAAAGCAAAAGCGATGGAAAAGGCAGCGGCGATCGGCAACAGTAGGCAACTATTTAGACTCATCAAGGAAACTGGTATTAGGAACCCAACTGTGAGTGAAACTATTTCAGAAAAGGATGGTCTTATTATCCATTCTCAATGCAGGAGACTAGACCGATGGGCAGAACACTTTAGGGATCAGTTCAACTGGCCTCGAGCCACACTTCCGTTACCCACGATCTCCAGTCATCCTGAATGGCAAATCGACGTAAGTCCCCCTAGTGTTAATGAAGTTGAGAAAGCGTTAGGAAGTCTGAAGCGAGGACGAGCTGCAGGTCCTGATAGACTGACCCCTGAAATATTTAAGGATGGTGGTCCAGTTTTAGCAGCTAGGTTGACTGAGATCTTAGACAGAATCCGGGAACTGGACACAATCCTATCCGACTGGTCTCAATCACTGATTGTCCCAATCTATAAGAAAGGACAAAAGTCTTCTTGTGACAATCACAGGGGAATAAGTCTAACTAATATAGTATCTAAAATATTGGCCTCAGTAATACTTCGACGCTTAACGAAAGCTCCTGAAGATCAGGCTAGAGAAAACCAGTCTGGTTTTCGATCTGGACGTGGTTGTATAGACCACATTTTCACACTACGACAGGTCCTAGAACATAGACACACATTTCGGCGTCCTACAATAGTTGTGTTCCTGGACCTTAAGGCGGCATTTGACTCAGTGGTTCGTGAGGTTCTGTGGCAGTGTCTGTCATTGAAAGGTGCACCAAAGAAGTACATTAACCTCACACAAGCTCTCTACTCGAACACCACTGGTCGAGTGAGAGCTTATGGCGAACTGTCACCGGAATTCTTTACTTCAAGTGGTCTCCGTCAGGGATGTCAACTCTCTCCATTCTTGTTTAACTTTATCACAGAAATGCTGCTAGATATAACATTATCTTCGTCTGAATTTTCAGAAGTCGACTTTCGACCAGCAGGCTCGCTTGCTGACTAATAATTTGCCGATGACATAGTCCTACTTGGTGAAGACGCTGACAAAATGCAGAATCTTCTGACCACCCTAAGCAACAATGCGAGCACGTTCGGGATGCGTTTCTCCCCGTCGAAATGCAAAATGTTGCTTCAAGATTGGGTTGCATCGGCACCTGAACTAGTGATAGGGAGTGAAGTAGTCGAGTGTGTAGACCGCTTCACTTATCTTGGGAGTCTCATCAATGCCGATGGCCTGGTGACTGATAAAATCTCAGCTCAGATACAGAAGGCTCGATTGGCTTTTGCCGAAGGCGAGTTATCCGTCTGCTGACTAAAGGACGAGTGTACTGTGCAGTGGTTCGCTCCGTCTTACTTTATGGCTGTGAAACATGGCCAGTGAGAGTAGAAGATATTCGTAGGTTACTGGTTTTCGACCATAGGTGTCTTCGAAGCATTGCTCGTATATCGTGGGACACCCGAGTCAGCAACACTGTTATTAGGAAACGGGTGCCAGGTAAGAATGGCAGATCAATAGATGAAGTGCTGAATCTTCATCAGTTGAGGTGGTTGGGACATGTGTTGCGTATGCCTAACCACCGACTACCTCGACGAGCTATGTTTTGTAGTGTGGGAATAGGTTGAATTGACAATTATATGTCTGTGCTGATGTGGTATGGTGACATGAACTGATGTACTTACGTACGAAGTTCTACGTTGCACCTGACTGACTGTCATGTCGGTAGATGTAGGCTACCTGGTTGGGATCCGCGAGACGATAGTCACTGATGGTTAGAGACCTTCAATGACATGGCTCAGAATCGTTTGCAGTGGCGCAGGTGCATCCACTCTTTGTGTTCTATGAAATTTTAAGCTTATGCATTCCTCATAATCTCTACCTTTCTCCTTCTAAATTTATCTTACTGAATTATACTTCTCGAATCATATCTTCGCTCCCTAATCTCCATTACTGCTGATACTTCTACTATCTCTATCACTGTTGGATATCAACTGACAGTTTCGTCTCTGTGCTGATGTGGTATGGCATCCTGAACTGATGTACTTACGTACAAAGTTATGCGTTGTATCTGTCTGTCTATTAAACTAAAATCTTGTATATATTCGTGTATCGAGAAGTAATAGATTTAAGATGCACTAAAATTTGTGTATATACCAAAGCAACTGGAATAGTCTGAATAATAAAGGTTCTACTCAGTTACTCAAAACGAATCTGTATCAGTAGGATTCAGTAGAACCCGCTAACTAGTAGTTTAAAGTCGAGGATGTCAACTAATGAACATTATTCTACCTTAAATTATCAGGTATAGTTATCGGAAATAGAAGACATGTAAACGTTACAAGTATTTACTCATACTAATCTGCGAAGTACACATAGTAAGAAGTGTTGGAGTAGTGTACTGAATTTAAATCATCACTTGCAGGTGGTTTGATTGGAGTATTATACACAATACATAGTGCAAGTATTGAATCACTACTTAAAAGACAGCCCAAAAAACACAAATCTTCGAAATGGATTATAGTTAGTTTCAATAGTATACAGAAGTAAATACCATTTCAATAAGCCTTAAGGAAAATAAGCCTAAACCGGTGAAACAGCTCCAATGAAAAAATTCGTAACTCTCTGTCCCTAGGTCTTACATATTTGCTTATTTCTCTATTTAAATGAAGCGAAAATGTCTAGATTTGCAGGATACAATAAACTCATTATATTTTGGGGCTTCTTAATGGCTGCAAACGACTAACGATTAAAGTTAGTCAGTCAGCTGCAACGTAGAACTTCTTACGTACGTACATCAGTTCAAGTTGCCATACCACCTTAGCACAGAGACACAATCGTCTATTCGAATCCCATAGTAGTAGAGGTATTAGCAGTAATTAAAAAGATTTGGGATCGAATATATGGTTTGATAAGTATATCACAGTGAAATAAATTTAAAAAGAGAAAAGTCAGATCATAATTTGAGAGAAGACAAAGAATGGATGCACCTGCGCCATTGCAAATGATTTTGAGCCATGACGTTCAAGGTCTCTCACCATCGGTTACTATCGTCTCGCGGACCCCAAGCAGGTAGTCTACACCTGCCAACATGACTCAACGCAGTTGTCAGTGAATTCATGGACTTGTGCCATATTTTAGTTTAGCCGCGCCTAGCTTTTTTCCAACTTACTCCTACATCGCAAAACAGCTCGACGAGGCAGTCGGTGGTTGGGCATTCGTAAAACATGTTCCAACCACCTCAACTGTTGAAGATTCACTACTTCATTAACTGAACTGCCATCCTTACATAGTATCCTTTTTTTGCCGGAATTGCTTACTGAGTTGTCCCAGGATATTCGAGTAGTGCTTTGAAGACACCCATCATCAAATACTAGTAGCCTACGAATATCCTCTACTCTTGATGTCTATGTTTCACATCCGTATAGTAGGACGGAGCAAACTGATGCGCAGTAGTTTTGTTCTACTAACAATTACACTTAATAATATATGTTTATAATAACATCACTGATATCATTAACAGCTCTCATTCGAATGGTTTTTATTGTACTAAATAACCATTAGTGTCTCGGTTTATTTCTTTTGATATAGTCCTAAGCCCAAATTGCCGAAGCTTGATCTTCCTGATGCCCTCACTAGCGTTGGGAGTTTTGGATCTCCACGTTTAGATGAAAAACTGGCAGTACTTGCACAGGTGGAAGCAACAACGGGGAAATATTACGCAGATTCAACGCTCTTCAGTCCTAAAGAACAAGTAACTAACTATAGTGGTTGTTTATCTGGAATTATTAAGGAAACCAGTAATGATAACTTCAAAGTAGAACAATCTAATTCCAACGCAGCAGCTCGTATTGTGTTCAGACGGCGTCCTACTTCAAATCGAAGCATACGTACCCAGCAGGACGACGAGTAGGGATTTCTAATACAATTGTACATATATTTTTATGAATAATATAGTCATTTTACGGTGACGAAATATAAATCGTATTCCTGTTTATTGCAACAGCAGTCGGTAATCTTGTAGGATAACAGTTTTAATCAGTATTTTACTCTGTTTAAATTAGGATAAGGAGCAGAGCCAAAATACTAAAAGCGGTGCCAATTATTTCTCTTCGGTCAACCACATCATTAAAAATTTTTTTAACATTTCTCGTGACTGAGTATTCTCCATTCATTCTATTTGTCCATGTGAAAATTCTTCAGTATCATCTAATGGGCGATTCTAGCTTCTTGCATACTTTCAAGTTTAGTCCTTTGTTTGAATAGTGCGGTTCGACCGTGAACTAGGTGGATTCAGAGACTATGGTGTAAATAATAAGTAGTTTGCTACCATATTAATTCAATGACTGGTGAGAGGTATCTGTAGCATAGTGTGCTAATATTTAGAATGTTATATCTGAATGTATATATTTGATTAAGTATTATGGTGATATTCTTGTCACTTTCATTTTCTTAACGGGGCGTAAAGAGCATTTTTCACTAAAACTTCCATACTGCTACGTTAATGGGTAAACTCATTACAGCTTATTAGGGAAATTGATAAATCTATGCCGACTTCAAACAGCTGTTTTGGAGTAGCAGGCTATATAATTTTGTTTTAACTCACGTGAACAGTTAATCTTAGATGTATCACTGCTTGTCGCTTTAATATACTGATTTTGAAACCCAAATTTCAACCAGTGAATTGTGAGCTCGGACCGTGTGAAACTTTCAGTTTAGACGATCGACTATTGTTTCTAACACAATAGATGTACTTAAAAATTTTAGATCACAACATGAAATCAATTACTCGTTTAAGATAACTAATTTGTTGTACATGACGTTTGTACTTTAACTTCTAAACAACAGTGATCAAACAAATAAACATAAGTGATAATCACACATTATTTAATGAGATTTTAGAAGTAAGAAGAAAAGATGACAAGTAGCTTACAATTTTAATTTGTTAATTCACTATTCAATATGTAATGGATATAAATGCAATAAAATTTATTAATACCACTATTATTACTTCTATGAAAATGTTAATTAATTCTGATTTGGTTTAACTGGATATATTCTATTCAGTTTAAATTTATTATTACACATCATAGTAACAATAATGATCCTGGTATATAAGATCTCCTCCAACTGGTTATAGGCTTTTAAAATCACGTGCATTGTTATAAAATCTGAAAAACATGAAAAATTATATATATATAATATAGATTTCATGAGTAATTTAATCAACATAGTTTTGGTACTCAGCAAAGTATCACAATATACGCAGATATTCTAAGTTATTTTAGAGCGAAATTGTATACACCATAGATAACATACGACTTGTTATACATGACATGAAAACACTTTAAAAAGTTTCATAACAAAAGATGCTTGTATTCTAATAACTTGTGGGACTTTAATTTTACTCAAATAATGATAACAATAATAATTACTATGATTGTGTACGTTTTATTGCCAAGGTTTGGCTTAAAAGTTTCAAATGAATTCGGACATCAGGTAGATTGTTAGTAATAGAAGTAACGATATGATGTTTCTGGCTTCCTAATACTTGATCAAAATGCCTGGAGGTAATTAAGTCAAGTGGATAAAAAAATCATTGGCAAAGGTAAACTGTATGCATCATGTTACTAAGTTTATATATAAAAAGTACAGTCAAAGAAAATTCTGAATAACGACTAAAAATGAACAGATTCATTGAATTACTTGGAGTTTTTCTTTATTGCTTCAACAATATGATGAATACATTGAAAAACAAGTATCGTAATGAAATTTAAAATACCTGCAATATTATCATAATTGTTTTCAATTATCATTTGCGATTTTGTCCTCTCTCCTATTGAATATGATGAGTTTTGATGGTAAATTTTTGATTATCAGAATTCAGAATAATACTCTCATATTCTTGATGTCGTCTGTATAAATCTTTGTATGCCGTACATACTCGTTCATACTCGGAAATTGACACATTTCTTCTACAGTGAAAGCGAGACGAAAATGAACAATCGTTATCTAATAACTCGGTAGTAACCGATATTTGTTGATTTGTCAAACATAAGTTTGTTCCTGATTAGTCGACTTACAATAAATCGACTCAATAATGAATTAAATTTTAGCAGTAATAACAATATTGTTCCTAAGTTACTTAATTCTCAAAGTTCCTTTATCAAATAGTAATATATTCAGGATGGGATACCACTATTGACGCTGCTTAATTGTTCTGTCTGTCAGTAAACTAGTAAGGATCCTTAGTCTTGCTGTTTGGTCGTTAATGAATTATAAACACTTGGATAAATTCACCAGTATGTCATAAAAAGATGAAGTAATTTCCGAAAAAGTCAAATAGTTAGGTGATAAACTATTCTTACAGGCAAACTTTAGAGCGCGATAACCACCAAACAGTTATATTACTTGTTACTGAGTTCAAACACTGCCGCAGCTCACTGATGACCATCAAAACCCAACTTTATTACTATGACTACAGACAAATGTGAATTAAAGTGTCTAAGTCCGCAGAACACCATCTACTTACTGACGACTGTTCACTGGAATCTGACCCAAAAGTGAACATTCTAATTTCAAACTCAGTAACACACTTTTATGCACAATGGGCTACCACTGAATCTCTAGATATTTGATGGGAAGACCTCTTATGCTTATCACGTCAACGTGATGATTACAGTAATCATAGAAATTTAATGTGTAGGTTCTTAGGGATAAAGTGTACGTATCCATGATATTAGAATCATAAACTTTTAACTGTTGAAGTCTGTTTTGTTAGAGTTGAATATTGAAAGCAGTGACATAGTGCTTTGATTAGTCTTAGGAGACCAATGGCATTAATGCACAAAATCAAATAATAAACAAAAAGGGGTTAACAGAAAAGCACCTCGACATTTTAGGTGAACTTAGCATGATCAAAATGAAAGCTATGCACATATAAGAAATCTCATAGAAAACGATCTTGTGGATTGATGGTCCTGTCATTTCCGTAAGACTGTAAATAACAGTTGATAATAATCACAACGGACTCGAGTGCTGAGGAAGCTGTTTGAACGTTTAATAATCTTCGATCATCTACATTATGAGGGAACATTTGCTCTTCAGGAAATAGGTTAATGGTCTGATTTATTGCTTTTCACTTTCTAAAATTGATGACCTTATTATACATTATAGAAAGGAACTGCAGGGAACGGTTTCTGAGTATTCGTTTTAATTCTATCATTAAGAACTCCTGACTTTTAGCAGTGAGAATTTACTAGCTTCTTTCCGTTACCGCACTACCACTACGTCTCGATGCAGTTATATTTAAAATAACAATCACAGAATCTAGAATTCACAGCTTTTAGTGTTATAGTTTTCTACTGAATCTTGGTTGCACACAAGAAACAACTTGACAGGACTGTTACTATGGGTGGAAAAAATTCAGTCGAAGCAACGGTTGCAGCTTATATAATTATCCTGAAATCGGTGTCTGCTTAAAAGTCAGGACAATTTAATCAATAATTACGCATTCGAAGTTGACATCGGGAGCTTTTAGGGTTGATAGTCAGTCAGTTAGTAACAACGTACGACTTCTTACGTACGTACATCAGTTCAAGTTGCCATACCACCTTAGCACAGAGACACAATCGTCTATTCGAATCCCATAGTAGTAGAGGTATTAGCAGTAATTAAAAAGATTTGGGATCGAATATATGGTTTGATAAGTATATCACAGTGAAATAAATTTAAGAAGAGGAAAGTCAGATCATAATTTGAGAGAAGACAAAGAATGGATGCACCTGCGCCATTGCAAATGATTTTGAGCCATGACGTTCAGGGTCTAACCATCAGAGAGAGAGATACAACGCATAACTTCGTACGTATGTACATCAGCTCAAGTAGCCATACCACATTAGCGCAGAGACGAAACTGTCAGTTCAAATCCAATAGTGGTAGAGATAGTAGAAGTATCAGCAGTAATGAAGAAGATTAGGGTTCTATGATATGATCTGAGAAGTATCATTCGGTGATATAACTTTAGAAGGAGAAAGATATAGATGATGACGAATTCAGACTAGAATTTGGGCGAACACAAAGAGTGGATGCACCTGTGCCATTGCAAACGATTTCGAGCCATGACATAGAAGGTCTCTATGCATGGATTGCTATCATCTCGCGAACCCCAAGCAGGTAGTCTACACCTGCCAACATGACTCAGTCCACTTGTCAGTGACTTCATGCATTTTTGCCATGTTTTGGTTTGGCCAACCATGGCTTTTTTCCAACCTACTGATACACTACAAAACATCGCTCATCGAGGCAATTGGTGGATGGGTATTCGTAAAACGTATCATAACTTCATCTATTGATCTACCATCCTTACCTAGTACTCGTTTCCCAACGACAGCATTGCTTACTCGGTTGTCTCACGATATACGAGCAATGCATCTTAAACATCTATGATCGAATACTAGTAACCTACGAACATCTACTATTAACGGCCATGTTTCACATCCATATAGGAGAACGGAGCGAACTGCTGCGCAGTACACCCGTCCTTTGGTTAACAAACGGATATCTCGCCTACGCCTTAAGTGACGCAAGTTGGCAAAAGCCAATCGAGCTTTCTGTATCGGCGATGAGATTTCGTCAGTCACCAGGCTATCAGAGCTGATGAGACTCCCCAGAAAAGTGAAGTGATCAACATTCTCGACTACTTCACTCCTTATCACTAGTTCAGGTGCCGATGCAACCCAGTCGTGAAGCAACATTTTGCATTTCGAGGGGGAACCCGCATCCCGAACGTGCTCGCATTGTTGCTTATGGTAGTCTGAAGACTGCATTTTATGAGCGTCTTCACCGAATAGAACTGTGTGATCGGCATATTCTAGATCATTAAGCGACTTCCTGGTAGAAGGTCAACCCCTGAAAAATCTGACGAGAGTGGACATCCCTGACGGACACAACTTGAAGCAAAGAATTCCGTTGACATTTCGCCATAAGCTCTCACTCGGCCAGTGGTGTTCGAGTAGAGAGCTTGTATAAGGTTAATGTATTTCTTTGGTCACCTTTCAATGACAGACACTGCCACAGAACCTCACGATCCACTGAGTCAAATGCCGCTTTCAGGTCCAGGAACACAGCTGTTGCCGGACGTTTAAATGTGTGTCTGTGTGTCTCTGAATTACATCCAGTTCCCAGAATTGATCCGTAAAGTATTATGCCCATATCGATCCGATCTCCTGGATTGACAATGAATAACAGTCGCATCATTTTCCGAGATAGTTTTACTAACAGTCGGATTCCTAGCACCAGTTCCCTTGATAAGTCGGAACAGTTGTCTACTGTTACCAGTTGCCGCTGCCCTTACCATCTCATTCGCTTTCGTTACTCACCACTGTTCGCGATCATTGAGTAGGCTTTTAATCAGCCTGCACTTCGCTCTTCGTCATGTTCAGAGCCGGGCGGGATGATTTTCAGGAGACCAGGGATAACGTTTCGTGAACTCGAATCGTTTGCATTAGCGGTGCAGCGTGATAAAGGGATGTGAGAAGAGTGAGTCATGGCGATAAGAGATATGTTAGGAGGTATAGGAAGGATTTGATTGTGACCGATTTGGCCTCGTGTGCTGTTACGGGAATGAGGGTGGATGTCACTTTCTGGCTGCCGATACAGTGGAAGGTCTGTGGTCTCAGAAGGGGCATTGGCCTCGTGACTTCGGATGGCACTCGGCGTTCATCATGATACGTCATATTTTCTTTAAATAAAGACCTAACTCCTAAAGTCAAGGGTAAGTGTTTTGATTAATATTTTAACGAGTTAATTTTTCAATGGATGCGGTTGGCAACGCCAAGCTCAGCCCTCATTTTTCAGGGTTTGGGATAGGCAATTGCCTTGGAGAGTCCCCAGGTGTGACAGATTTGTGATTGTAGATTTTATTGCTTTAGGCTGTTGTGGGTGTCATCTAGACTTACACTACGATCAGCCTGGGAAATAACTATTTTCAAAAATATTAAAACATTATATTAACCTATTAATAAGTTTACAGACAATCGAACTTCTTAACAACTTTCACATTCTGTAACTCAGAATATGTGTGCAAAGAAATCTTAAATTTTAGGCTGGTAGTCAAGTTGTTTGTCGAACAATATACTTTAAATTGGCTCAGCTGTGAATTTAAACCTTTGTAGATGCTGTTTATTTGATGTATTGCTATTCGGTGACAGATTTATTAAAGATATCTGCACTCGACCTTGTACCACACACTCAGAACGTCCGAATACTGTTACGACAAGACCTTAATTATCGTATTTCCGAAATTTCAATGCCACAACGAATTCAATGTATCTGAGATGGATTTGCTTCGAACTAAAAATTGACTGTCTCAAATAAATCGGTTACATTAAATCAAATGACGTGAGTTTTTTTATATCACCCCCCTTTAAGTAAAATTCGAAACCAGGAAATTTAAGAATGCTTAGTTTTGAGTATCTGATTATCTTTTGTTCCCACGGGAACAGAATGGAACAGTGATTAGAATGTTGGCTTAGTGGTTATGATTTTCAACCATCGAATGATATAAAAGTTCAACTTTATCTAGTCAAGTTCGTGGGGTCTGATCATTCACTAATAAAATGTTAACAATTCATTTTCCAACCAATTTGACACTAAAAATGTAGCAATTCACTTAGAAAAGGAACTAGTCATTATCCAGTTTATTTAAGATTACTGAGTCAAACGTTGGTAGTGATGTACAAAGATAAGTGGTATTACTCCTTAGAACAGTATACGTTTCACATTTCCCCTATAATATCAGTAAGAAAAAGTAAATTTCAACAAATTTTATATGAAAATTTTTACTTTAAATTGTTATTTTCTTTACGCAGCTTTTCCATTTCATATTCAAGGAAGTTGAGTTTTCGTTTCAATAACACTATCCGAAGACATAAGGCTCTTTTTTTCTGAGGGCATTTATACAAAACATATATACAAAAGATTAAGTTCAGTTTGTTTAAATATATTTAACAATTTTCGTTATTTTTCCATAATAAACACTAAAGTGAAAGTAAAGAATTCTCATTATAAATTGGAAGACATTTTAACCAATTAACAATTTTAGTGTACGGAAAATAAGCATAAAATTTTATTTAGAAGAATATAATTATATCATATACTCATAAATACAATAATATCGTTTTCGAAAAGTAAACATTGTTAATATTTGTTGATGGTGTGATAATTGCTAATCACAAGTGGCTTATCAGTAGTGTGCAGTTAGGAGTTGCCCAGAAATGCTACCAGAGGGGTGTAAGGAGAATGCAGTTCATGGCGCAATCACAGTATACTGAAGACCCGAAGAAATACGAGTAATTAACAGTAACCTGCTGATCTATATACAAGAAAAGACCACTCTTTTAATTTAGTTGAAAGGATTAGGTAACGATCTAATTGTGATGAAATTAGAACCAAATTGTAAGTCTAAGTTACACACAGCTGATCCGGATAAGAGTCCAATGATATTTGGAATACGAAACAAGCTGGAAATACTTTCATTCAAATTGAGCATGACTGTTGGAGACGTTAGGTCCCCAGAACTCACTTGATAAATGCCTGAATTTGGATTTCACGTTTGCGAGCATGGACTGATTAGTCGACCTTGAGATTTCATTTCCCACCAGGAAAATCCTTGGCTATGATTGGTTACTGTGTTATTTTAGTGCGCTATTTTTGTGACTTCCAAGGACGTTTCTATAGTGTATAAATAAACGCGATTTGTGTCCTTGAGATCATTGTGCTTTCTGGGTGTTTGCAGAATACACTTTCTATGCTATATCAAAACTTTTCGTTAGTTCTTTTTGCTCAGCAGATCAGAGTAGCTTACCTGGACGCTAGTTCATTGTCTCGCTTATCGACTAAAGTGAACCCCAGTGACGAGCATAACAATGACACCTTAAACTTCGTGTACAAGCGGTTCGATAGCATGACTCAATAAAAATTTCGAAAAAAGAATGGAATAATTATCAAGGTTGATAACATACCACTGAAAAATCGAAACATATTATGTATATGTCACTAATCATTAAGTCATCATCTGATAACGGGACATTTTTAGGTAATTTTCAAAGTTCATAAAATTATAAAAAACCATTGCTGTAACCAATCTTCACCTATATTGGATTATTTCTTACCTTACGTGAATCTTCTAAAAACTGTTGCATTTTATTTCTGATGGCATTACTTATATCTAAGTGTTTTAAAAGCCCCCGATTATTAAGATCAGCCAAAATAAGTGATTTTTGTTGAGATTCCGTACTGCTTATCTTCTCCATAAAAGAATTCGCATAAATCTACAAAATGCAGAGAAAAAGTAACTTTTCTGCATGTTCAGTTCATTTAATTAGTAAAACTCACAACGGAAAAGAGGAACAGTCGTTAAAGAAACATTTTACATTATTCAGTAACTGTATAAAAGTCCAAGTATTAGGCTATAAGACACACCCATTATTCAGATCAATAATACCATCTTGTTTCTAGAATCTTGATGTTGGTAGAGAGTAATAATTGAATCCATATTCCATAAATCAGTATCAAGATAAGCACAGCTTTTTTTTAAGCAAACAATATCCATCCCTCTTTTGAGAATTAATCAGCATGGATAGAAACGAAACAGTGAATTAATGTGTAGACGATTTAATATAATACACAAATATATTTCTAAACCCAGATTATGTACAAATCGACAATAGGCAGTAAGATGGGTTGAATAACTCGTCAATAACATCTCTGATAGTCATACCTAGTAGAACAACCTGGACCCAAAATATCAAACGCATAATCTTTTTTCGTGAAATTCTAGTCTTAAATTTCAAACAAGTAAAGAACAAAATATATAGAATTTTAAACCTATGAAACTTACTCTCCCGACCGTAGCTGCTACCTTGACGTGGTGGTTGGGCTTGACTATCGTGATGACCCAGCCGAGCTATACTGGCTGGAACATATGTTCCTGAAGGTTCTACCATGCCAGGCAGGTCGTTTGGAGAACGATGAGACTAAAAGCAGCTACTCAAGGTCTGAGGGCGAAGTCTTACTGCTGACTGTAGAGGGGTGTGACAGCACTAAGGTGTTTCCCTCGGACAACCAGCATCTGCAGCGATGCTGCCGTCTCACAGGGAAGGAAGGGTTGGAAAAGGTCAACTCTATAAATGACACACCTCACCCTACCTCACGGATTTCCGTCTCCGGCGGTAAGGGTGCCCACTAAGGGCTTTCAAGAGCGGAGCTAATCCTCAAAAAACCCTTCATAAGAAGGCCGTGCGTGACCGGCCTCAAGCAGTTGTCCCATGGACTCTGCGGTCAAGCACCCAGGTCTCTAAGACCAACACTAATCTCCCTTCCTTTTCAGGCTCCTCAAGAAACAACCTTCCACTGTGTGGGCAGTCGGGAAGTGGCGACCGCCCTCATACCCGTAACAGCACACGGCACCAAATTGGTCGAAATCAAATCCTTCCTACACTCCCTAGTACCTCTCTTATCTCCACAACTAACTCTATTCACATTCTCTTATCTGACTGCACCGCTAATGCAAACGATGCGAGTTCATGAAACGTCATTCCTGGTCTCTTGAAACCTCGTTCTAGACTACATGTTGGAGCATTTAATGTACGGACATTGTGTCAAATAAGGCAACAGGCTTCCTTAGCTAGGACCTTAGAATCTCGCGCCATCGATGTGCCTGAGAAAATAGTTAACATCATAGGGAATTCTTATGATGGATTCAACTGCAAAATCGTACACGGAGGTCAGCTGACAGACTCTTTTGAGGTAAAGACCGGTGTCAGGCAAGGTTGCTTACTCTCACCCTTTCTCTTTCTCCTGGTCATCGACTGGATTATGAAAACGTCAACATCTCGAGGGAAGCACGGTATCAACTGGACAGTTAGGACGCAGCTGGACGATCTGGACTTCGCAGATGACTTGGCTCTTCTATTGCACACTCAACAACAAATGCAAGAGAAGACGACCAGTGTAGCAGCAGCCTCTGCAGCAGTAGGTCTCAACATACATAAAGGAGAAAGCAAAGTTCTTCGATGCAACACAACATGCACCAACCAAATCGCTCTTGATGGAGATGCCTTGGAGGACGTTAACACCTTTACATATCTTGGCAGCATCATCGACAACCAAGGTGGATCGGATGCAGATGTGAGGGCGCGGATTGGCAAAGCGAGGGCTGCATTTCTACAGTTGAAAAATATCTGGAACTCCAAACAACTTTCAACCAAAACCAAAATCAGGATTTTCAATACAAATATCAAGACAGTTCTACTGTATGGAGCGGAAACATGGAGAACTACGAAAGCCATCATCCAGAAGATACAAGTATTTATTAACAGTTGTCTACGCAAAATACTTCGTATTCGTTGGCCAGACACCATCAGCAACAACGAACTGTGGGAGAGAACAAACCAGATTGCAGTGGAGGAGGAAATCAGGAAGAAGCGGTGGAAGTGGATAGGACACACACTACGAAAAGCACCTAACTGCGTCATAAGACAAACCCTCACATGGAACCCTCAAGGCAAAAGGAAAAGAGGAAGGCCAAGGAACACATTACGCCGAGAAATAGAGAAAGATATGAGAGGAATGAACAAACATTGGACAGAACTAGAGAGGGAAGCCCATGACAGAGTTGGTTGGAGAAAACTGGTGGGCGGCCTATGCTCCATTGGGGGTAACAGGCGTAAGTAAGTAAGTAATGGTTCAGTGTAACCTTGATGAACAAATGCTTACTTAAGTTTGAATAAACAATCAATGATTACGAAATGTGTTTTTTGTCATTTTTTATAAGATGAACTTATTGATGAAAAAAATTAGTTCATAGTAAAAAGTTAAATTGTTAAAATGGACTCTCAGACATTTCAGTTTGTGGTGACCAATCACTAGTTCATTTCATCATACAGTTTGTTTATTTAAATGATAACAAATTATAACAATAATGTTAAGTCAATTGTAATTTGTTGTGAATATTTTGTTTGGAAGCAAAAGAATATTAAAATTTCACAAATGAATTTCACTTAATAATTTTCCAGACTAAGAAACTTACAAATATATCGTTTTTCATTATGACTGTTTAATTCCAGTCCTTAGTAATGGGATGGCTTTTTATTAACTTTCGTCTATGATTCAAAATGAAATGATGTGCATTAAGAATGGATCATATTACAAAAATTCAGATATATAAACTGATTTTACACAATTTCAACTAGTTAACTTAAGAATAAAAACAAAAAATACAAACCCACATTGTTGAACATACTTTAAATGTTTGCATTTGATTTACTTCTAAATTTAAACGTTCCGAAATACTTTTCATTTTATTTTCGAATTGATGAATATGAATCATAAGATGATGACGAAATAATTTGATGATTTGTTGCATCTTTTCATCATCTCTAGTAGTAGATGTTGTTGTATCGTAATTAATTGACAATAGATCAAGCTGATTAGAATTTGTTAAACGTGACGATAATAAACCCAATTCATGATTTAGCGCTGTTAAATAACACAGTTAAAAATAAGATGTAAATTCTCTTCAAGTTTAATGATTTAAGAGAAATTGACTAATTTGAATTCCATCTCTATATTTTCCAATTTATTTTGTGTTATTCGGATTAGAAAAAACTGAATGTTAAACAAGGACTACTAATGTTCGGTGTACAAAAAAACACCAAGATTGAATAATATGAAGAAAGACTGACGTTTTTGAAACTAGTGAAAATAAAACCGATCAACTATGCTTATTCATAAAGAGAAGCGGTATTTTCAAAAGGAGTTTTTACTTATTTAATATGAGGTGTACTCTGATGCGAACACTTCCCTGAATTTAAAATACACATGTTTATGGCCATCAGTGTTCGTTTATTTACGGTTTTTAATATCAATGTTTATAAGTGTAAGGTGGTTCAGTGCAAGGCTAGAAAGTTTACATTAATTGTTCGCAAAATTTTCATCTGTATTTCTAATTCATGAAGTTCCTTCATTGGCAGTTTCCTATGAATTACCAATATACAGCAATACATTTCACTGCTAACCATTCTTGAACAAATTGTGTAATAGATGAATTCATGACATTTATTTTGTTTATTATTGGATCAGAATTCTTCTAATATTTTTTAAAGTTCATCTCGGCTTTATGGTCCTGACCATAGCTCCTACCATGACGGGTTGGTCGAGTTTGCCTATCATGATGACTCAACCAAGCTATATTGGCTGGAACATATAACCAGAAAGTTCTACAGTGCCAGGTAGGTCAATCGCAGAACGGTAAGACTAGAAGCAGCAAATCAAGGTCATAGGGAAAAATCATACTGCTGACTGTAGAGGGTTGTGGAGCAGGGAAGTGTTTCCCTCAGACAACCAGCATCTGCAGCGATGCTACCTTCTCACAAGGAAGAAAGAGATCAGAAAAAGTCGAACATAAAAAACATCACACCCAACCTTATCCCTGGGATTTACGTCACCGGCAGTAGGGCAACTTGGAGAGCGGAACCGACACATTACAATGAGTTAGGAGCTCTGATATAGTAATAGTGGCCGTTGACTTTAATACCCAGGTAGGTAAATTGAGTGCAAAAGTAAAGACACCTGGGTGGACTCATGGTGTCGCGGCTGATCAAACAAATAATGGAGACTGTCTACTAAATCTATGCTCAGATAACCGCCTATTCTTAGCATACACTAACTTAAAGCATGAGGAAAAACATCTCGACCTAATGACACTCAAAGCCGACCCAACTAGACCACATCGCTATCAGCCATCGGTGGGGGCCCCGTTGAAGTCTGCCGCTCAGTTTATTGCACTTGTTTAGATTCAGACCATGCTCTAGTGAGAATGCGTATTTGATTGCCACCCACTGGACGTAGGAGAGACACTGCAAGGAAATCTCTTAGGGTTCTACTTAATGATAGCATAGCTAAGAATATATTTCAGAAGCAACTGGCCATGATAGTGATTTCCACCCCGAGGTAGCTTGGAACTATATCCAAAAAGCCGCGGAAACAGCAGTGGTATCTGCTATTAAGGTAAACCACAAGGTTAGAGAGAAGCCGTAGATCGCAGTAGCATCCACCGAACCGATAGATGCTCAAAAAATCATCCCGCCCGGCTCTGAACATGACGAAGAGCGAAGTGCAGGCTGATTAAAAGCCTACTCAATGATCGCGAACAGTGGTGAGTAACGAAAGCGAATGAGATGGTAAGGGCAGCGGCAACTGGTAACAGTAGACAACTGTTCCGACTTATCAAGGGAACTGGTGCTAGGAATCCGACTGTTAGTAAAACTATCTCGGAAAATGATGCGACTGTTATTCATTGTCAATCCAGGAGATCGGATCGATATGGGCATAATACTTTACGGATCAATCCGACTGGCTTTCTGCCTCAATTCGGTTACCCACGACTGTCACTCAACCCAGGGTCCTCCAACTGTTAATGAGGTTGAAAAGGTTATAGGAAATCTAAGGCGAGGGAGAGCAGCAGGCCCATGAGAATTTTAAAGATGCAGGTCAAGTTTAAGCAGTTCTGTTGACTGACATACTTAGTGGAGTCTGGGAACTGGATGTAATTCCATCCGACTGGTCTCAATCACTGACTGCTCAAGTCTATAAATGTTCTGTTCGTCATCAAGTATGCTTGAAACCTCGATCCGGCGACGGCTGAAGAGAAGCCTTGACATTGCGTAGAAGGTGTATTCTACAAACACCCAGCAAGCACCATGCAATCACACACACAAATCTCGTTTATTTATACACCATAGAGACGTCCTTGGGACAGTCACAAAAGTAGCACACTAGAATACACAGCTGCCAATCACAACCAAGGATTTTCCTGGTGGGAAATGAAATCTTAAGGTCAACTGATCAGCCTATGCTCGCAAACGTGAAATCCAAATTCAGGCATTTATCAAGTGAGTTCTGGGAATCCAACGTCCCCAACACTACTACCCTTTTTTTAATAGCGTGCGCTCCTGTGGTCGACTTACATCTTGACTATCGTTCGCCGCTGTCTGAGAGGATGCCTTCTGGAAAAGAGAACAGCTTGCTGCTGATTCTCTTCTCGTGGTGGGGCTGCAGGTAGGTTGAAGGTATCTATCAGGATGTCAAGGGGAAGATTTGCTGCTGTTGATGGGCGATCTGGGACTGGCCGTTTGCGCATCCGTTTCTGATGGCGTGACCACCATTCGCCTCCTACCTGCACTTCATATATAACTCGCCCAATTCCTCTGACTACTCGCGCTTCCGCCCAAGGACCAAGGTTCGTTCTGTAGTCACTGGCAAACGCAGGGCACCTCACTTTGTAAGAGGATTGTCTTTGCTGCCTTGTCTCTACTGATGTTGGTGCATTAGTCTAGTGCATCAGGCTGTGGATTGTTTTCAGTCTTGTTCCCATCAGGATTTCTGCTAGGGACTTTTGCTCCGGTAACAACTCATTTGGTGTTGTTCGATAGACCACATATTCACCCTTGGTCAAGTCTTTGTTCGCGGTGAAAACCGTTGTTAGACAAGGTTGCTCACCCTCACTTCGAAGGTCTAAGAAGAGGAAGGACAAGGAACACATTTGGCCGAGAATGAAGAGAGAAATGAGAAGAATGAACAAAAGTTGGAGAGAACAGGAACGAAAGGCCCAGGACACAGTAGTTTGGCGAATACTGGTCGGGGGCCTATGCTTCATTGAAGGTAACAGGTGCAACTATCTAAATAACTCTTCATGTCATCGCAGATATCGGGTGTCGCACTATAGTTGTATTCCTTGAACTCGAAGCGGTTTCGACTCTCTCCACCTTCAGTTTCTATGGCATTCTCGCCATTAAAAAGTGCACCGTAGTAGTACATTAACTGTACGGAAGCTCTTTACTCGAACGCCACTGGTTGAGTGAGAGCTTATAGCGAACTGTCATCGGAAATCTTTACTTCAAGTGCTGTCGTCAGGACTGTCCACGCTCTCCTTTGTTGTAGATATGCTTATAGTGTAAACATTATACTCGTCAGAATTTTCAGGGTTGGACCTTCTAACAGGAGGCTCGCCTATTGACCTACAATATGCCGATGGCATAGTTTTATTTGGTGGAGATGCTGACAAAATGCAGTCCTCTGACTACCCTATGCAACAATAAAAGCATGTTCGAGGTGCTGTGTCCTCCTCGAAATGCAAACTGATGTTTCAAGATTGCGTCGGCACGTCAACTGGTGATAGGCCGTGAAGCAAGCGAGCGTGTAGAGCGCTTCATTTACTTCGGTAGTCTCATCAGTGCTGATGGCTGGGTGATTGACGAAATCTCAGTACGGATACAGAAGGCTCGATTGGCTTTTGCCAACTTGCGTCACTTAAGGCGTAGGCGAGATATCCATTTATGATAAGAAGAACGTATGTATTTGATTTCATTGTTAGTTATTACGAAATGATATTCTGATGAAAACTGATTAAACCTATTTAGTTTTTAATCTCTCAATTCAAACTTAAAAAACGAATTAATCCTGTAACTGTTACTACTACTGATGTCTCATCAGTGCTGATGGCTGGGTGACTGACGAAATCTCAGTACGGATACAGAAGGCTCGATTGGCTTTTGCCAACTTGCGTCACTTAAGGCGTAGGCGAGATATCCATTTGTTAACCAAATGTCGAGTCTACTGCGCAGTAGTTCGCTCTGTTCTACTATATGGATGCGAAACATGGCTAGTCAGAGTAGAAGATATTCGTAGGTTACTAATATCCAATCATAGATGTCTTAGAAGCATTGCTCGTGTATCGTGGGACAACCGAGTAGGCAATGCTATAGTTAGGAAACGAGTACTAGATAAGGATAGCAGAGCAATAGATGAAGTATTGGAACCTCATCAATTGAGGTTGTTAGGATACGTTTTACGAATACCCAACCACCAATTGCCTCGATGAGCGATGTTTTGTAGTGTATCAGTAGGTTGGAAAAAAGCCATGGTTGGCCAAACCAAAACATGGCAAAAATGCATGAAGTCACTGACAAGTGGACTGAGTCATGTTGGCAGGTGTAGACTACCTGCTTGGGGTTCGCGAGATGATAGCAATCCATGCATAGAGACCTTCTATGTCATGGCTCGAAATCGTTTGCAATGGCACAGGTGCATCCACTCTTTGTGTTCGCCCAAATTCTAGTCTGAATTCGTCATCATCTATATCTTTCTCCTTCTAAAGTTATATCACCGAATGATACTTCTCAGATCATATCATAGAACCCTAATCTTCTTCATTACTGCTGATACTTCTACTATCTCTACCATTATTGGATTTGAACTGACAGTTTCGTCTCTGCGCTAATGTGGTGTGGCTACTTGAGCTGATGTACATACGTACGAAGCTCCACGTTGTAGCTGACAGACAGACTCGTTTTTAGTGTATTCAGTGAATAGTGGTTGATTTGTAACTTCTGTATTTATTGTACGTAGTTGTAGTTGGGAATTATGTTTTTCACCATTAAATTTGGCCAACTAACTTTGTCATTTGATTTTTTCTTTATATTCATTGTAAAATGCACACAAATAAATACTGCATGAGGAGTATCTTTTTATTACCAATGTATATCTGATGAACAGAGGTAAATAAAATTTATCTGAGACTTGACATGTAACTCATTAGTCTGGTTTAAATTTTCGAACGGCTTTTATAGACTATGGAAATTGAAATATGACTCATTCAACCATCGTTTCTAAGCATCTCAATTAATACGTCATATTTAAATCATCAACCGATCAATGGTAGAAGTCTTTGAAAATCTGGAAGCTCTGGAGGTCGTTTCATCTTAGTATGTTCATGGTTTCAACGAAACTCAACAATAACCACAACCATATTCTAATAATTATTATATGCTCATTAGTGACTAGCTTTGAAAGGAAATTCGTGGAGTTCTCATACAAAGACATGACCAGTAAATTTCAACCGCATCGTCTGAAGCATTTATCCATTGAAGACAATGATAAATGGTCGCACAATATCATGGACTAATTGCAATTAGACACTAATACCATTGAATGTCAGGTCAATAGCAAAGAGCTAAGGTGTTCACGCGTGAGATTGAAGGCCCTGTGCCTGACTCCGAGATTCATAGCCGTTGATGCACACTGCTTACCTGGGTAAATCGGCCTTTCAGGTTTTTATTGGTGGTCTAACGTTGGTTGGTTTATGATTTCAATGAAACTCAACTATATCCAATATTGTACACATTAAGAAATGAAAATAATCGTAAACTTCTTAGTAGTCAAGTTTAAGTGATCTTCAGTATGACGTACTTCATGTTATGTGAGAATAAGGTAAATAACAATGATATATTGAGCAAGAAATAAGTCTGAAAGTCAGGTTTTAATTTTCTTGATACTTAGATGACCTACAGATTCATATATTTCAGTCAACTAACTTCCAAATGATTTTTACTCATCCTTATTTTTGTGTTAAATATCTTGTGTGTACTAGATCTAAGCTTATTCTGTTGTCAACAGTCGTGTTTGCTAATATCTATTCGATTTGAAAGGTCTACATCAACAGTTCCATCTTGTTAGCAGTTATCACTCGATCGTATAGTATCAATGTAAATTATCGACTACGCAGCATTCCATTAAACCTTATTCACAGTACATAATGGATATCGATAAAATGATGATGCAGGGCAAATCTACCTTCAGACTTTTTCATCAATTCACCTCTCTGTTTTTCAATTTCCGATCGTTGAGCTTGTGCTTCGATCCGTAAATTAAATAATTCAGTGCGTACAGAGTTTAAGAACTTTTCAACTTGTAATTCAGCTTGGACTTGATTTTTCGTGGATTCTACAGATGTTTGGCGATAAGTCACCAATGCTTTACGTAAATTATTTACTTCTTCCGTTAATATGCATAACTGAAATTTAGTTTTAACAATGAAATGTGAAGAACCAATAGCTTTATTCAAGTATGATTAATGTAATAGCATCATTTGTATGATACAACGAATAATTTAAAGAAGGAATGGTTTTAACTGAGTTCATTTTTAACTGTACATTTAAGTGGATTAAGTTATATGAATTCCGTGAAGTTTGCCTTGACAGAAGCTATGTGTGTATTTGGATTGTAGTTAGCGGTTGAAGTGTATTTTGTTCTGTCTGGGACTTTTCACTTGGATAAGTTTGAATGCAAATGTTGATATAACTGATTATTATGCTTACTTTTTAACGTTCTTATGGGCTATAGTCACCAAAATGCTGTAATGTAATGACATAATGAACTATTACTATTTCCTGGTTTTGCCTCTCATCTACGCTCACAATCTAACGCTAGTCAACATCTCCAGTTTTTCCAGATAGTAACTAGGCAAGAGTTATAATCCACCTAATTTGGTGAAGTTTTAACCCTGATCACAATCTTCGTAATTGTTATCTACAGCTCTTACGTGATTCGTGATCCCATCATACGCGAGTATTCTATACAAGTAGTTTTGATCAAATACTCTCAAGCTACGCGCTAAATGTTTATTAAATTGCGGATCGGTTTCCGTACGCTGGTTCTGTTTAATTGATACAGTTGATATGGAAATTTTGAAGTCACAAGGACGTCTGAAATAATCGTTTGTAAACGTTCCCCTTTTCATGACTTCGTAAAATTTCTAATGTATAAGGATTATTTTCACGTTGAGTTTTTCCTGTCGTCGTATACTATACTCGAACATTTAATTACGTATTTATAGAAATTTACTCAATTTGGAAACAATACATGATACTAAACAGTCCTGTGGAACGCTTACCACAAGTCAATCAAAAAACAGATATTCTTCATATGTGTCACTTGCGATGGGAGTTTCATCCTAAGAAATTAGGTACAGTAGAAAACTTGAATTTTAATTAGTTGAAATAATCTGAAGTTTGAACAAAGTCAAGATTTTTGAGCTGTTCACTATAATTTGAGTATTGCTAGAGTATATGTTAGGATTTTCCAAATAAAATGTATATTCATTTTTTAAAGTGGATTATTTATAAAAATAAATTTTCAAAGAAAAAGATATTTTACTTGACTTTTTTGAGTAGAACACAATGCTTCAAGTTCTATATTCTTAGCTTTCATTTCAGAACACACAAGTAATTGATCAAGATTTTCTGATTGAATTTTATTTCTGATAAAATAATAAAATATGATTAGATCATTAATAAAATAGGAAATAAGCTTAGCACTATATAAAGCTCAATATAATAATTTTGACGTGTATTGTTATAAATCTCTCTTTGTGAACCCAGCTACAATACACTCGACAGGAAAAAGATTATATTCCAAATAGCAAAGTTAAATGGAAGTAAGAAGCCGAAGCGAAGGCGAAATAGGAACAACGGTAATATCTTTATAGTTTTTACATGAGAAGCTTCTGGAGTGTACTCCACGTGATCGACTAGCGCTGATCGGATTAGGTTTAGCCAATCAGCGCGCAGCTAACACAGTCATGCTTTATTTCATCTGTGTCCAACTAACAATTGTGCTTGGTCAAGTATTTCTTGGTTGATATATATATATATATATATATATATATATATATTAGAAAAACACATAAGTGAACAATATTGTTTTCGTTTACATCGTCATCAGGCTTTACTCCAATATACATGATTATTTATACGAAAATGTTTAACTAATCAAGGCAATTTGAATCAATAATAACAATGAAATGAAATAGATTACGTCACTACACATAATAGGCAAAAGTACAAGTTGATAGTATGGAGACAGGTGTACTGATAGTAGTTAGAAAATTATAAAATACGATAACAAAAGTTTTATTAATAGTAGGTCAAACGTGGATAAATAAACTTACAATGATCATTACAAAACATTAAAACCATTACGTAATAAGCAAATGTGTAAAAATAATTAGATAGTGAAGAATATAAACGGAAAGAGGCAGAGGATTACTAACAAATACAGGATGTGAAAATAATGCTCATAATAACAAAATAAAATTTAAAAACTGTCTCATAGCTTAGTAAGGAAAATTATTTAGTGTTACTGTTAGGTATATTTTCTTAGTTTTAACCTAACGTTATCACGGTATAGAATCTTCAGAACAACAAGTGATTTGTAAGAAACTGAACACCGATAGCTTGATGCTCCTAATCCAATGAAACTGAAAAATGCTGAATGTTACGTGATGACTAAATAACTGAATAGAGGCCTGTTAGTTATAAGATCTGAAGATCAAGATAAAGAAACTGTAATTTACTTCCTTGCATTTACTGTTCATTCATAAAATATAGATTCAGTGATGTGAAACATTCTTGTTCTCTTTCCCTGCGGCAAATTAAAAAAACTTTCAATAAGAGGGAACTTCTACAACGACTTACAAGGGATGAGTATTAACGCATTAGCCGAATTAATTCATTAAATATTCTCACATCAAACTAGTTATCGTATTTAAGCTAATATACAATCTTAGTATTTTATTTATATAATTAAAAAGAAATGTAAATGAATAGAACTGTTAACACAAATAACACAAACAAACATTCAGTTATTCATAACAATGTACAACCCTTTCAAAAAAAAAAAACATCATTTTTCATGTTATTACACTTCATAACAAAAACGCACGGTTAAAAAAAACATCAATAAAATAATAATAGGTTCAGAACTGAATAAAGTGAAAAGATTATCATGTTTTAACTAACCTTTCTGTAGATAAATTTTCTTTTAAACAACGAATTTGATTATCAAATTCCTGACATTTAGCTTGAAGTTGTGCATTTTGCAATAATAGCTTTTTATCTTCATTGGTTTTAACAGATGATAGTTGATTAATCTGCATACGTTGGTCATCTTTAATCTTTGTAAGACTAGTAATCTTTTTTTTCAAAGTTTAAAACATAATTATTATATAAAATGTAATGTAGGTTACCAAAAAACTAAATTTAAACCCTCATACATTCATTATTCAATAACAGTAACATTTAGCCAAAACAATAGATAATAAGTGAATGAACACAAATTTCATTGTCACACAGTGAAATATCCTAGAATCTTATATAACTACCGGTTTCTTGTTCCTCAAAATCCTACTTGTTCACTTGTCTTATCTCGATATCTTGCCATTTTAACCTGCTTGTTATTATGTGGTGAAGTTTCATAACTGACGTCAGCCTTTTTATCATCTATGTTTGTCTTTCGCTCATTCAAGATTATAAAATCCTGAAAAAGTGTACGTCAGTGACTAATATCCGCTTCGTTTTGTGACGGAGTTTAATAATGTCTAACAAAAATCTAAAGATCAAATGCTAAAATGATCTTTGTTATCGGCAGCAGAAGTGAATTGCTGATATTAAACTTGAATATAAAGTTCTTTTTTATATTCTTGGGTTTTAGAACTATGTACATGTAGTCCATGTAGCAGAAAGAGAATCTAGGTGACCGGCTCGACATTAGATGCTTGATAAAAACACTTATTAACATAGGCATAAAGTTAACTGTTAATATGGAACTCCATGTAAATATGAAATGACACTTAATATTACTGATCATTATATATAAATGACTACTTTAAGATACACTTCCTACTAGGATTTCTCCTTAGTAGATAAGTTCACCAAGTAAAATAACCCGATTTCATTTTAAGAAACTATAGATGTTGTCAACAAGACTTTCAAAATATAAATCTTTAAGAACTTCACAATTCATTAAGATTTCCAATTAACATGACCTTCTGTTTTGAACATATTTCATATCCATGGAAATGATAGAAAATATGTGAATTTCATGCAAAACGTCTAGTGTCAGTAAGACGACATTCATCTCATTCTAGTTTGAATCGAATCTGCCACTTCGCATGGATAAGACGACAAAACTATGGTAGTCAAACTTGAGCTATCACACATAAAGGGATCATTAAATGCCATCCAGTATCATGAGCAAATACCTTACTACGCAGCTTAAACGGGCGGCTGATGGTCTAAATAATCTTTACTACTGATGGCATATTCATACACTTATCGACATTTATGATGAATGATTGATTAAACATGAGTAATATATATTCTTTCTGCATTACAATAAATTTTTACTCGATTAACCTTCATTTATTCTTTGATATTCACTCTGTTACCCCTAACTTCGCTCTCAATTGCTTCCATACTGTTGATTTTTTGTGTGAATATAGAGGATTTATTTGATGTAAAACAGTCACCTACCTCAGCTTCATACAATAATTTCATATTTTTAAATTCTGAACGTTCTTCGAATATTGTTTTATTGAGAGTGTGAACTTCTTCTGACAGCATTCTATTTTCATCTTGAAAACATTGCAGATTGGACTGCAAAATTGAAATTTGCTCACGATACTTTGATTCTAATTCATTTGTTATCTAAATCATTAATTTGGAAAAAGTAAATGAAAACACTTGTTACAATCTAAAAATTTCCGATGAAAATTTCTGAACTTTTCGGACCCTTCGTTGTTCGCTCTCTCCCTCTGAATGTCTGTTTTTATACGGACACTAGACACTACAGATTCTTTAGCTACTTTTGTGTATTATTGTTTGAAAAATCTCAATATTTACTACTAATTAAAATATACTAAATAAGGAGAGAATACTACAAAACAGTTATGTGGTAGGTAACACTCGAAAATCGAAAGGGATGGAAGCTAGTTTTCTGTGTAAGTGGAAATATCTTCAGTCGCTCAAATGAGAATAAGATTGAAGTAATAAACATTTATGATAAGAAGAACGTATGTATTTGATTTCATTGTTAGTTATTACGAAATGATATTCTGATGAAAACTGATTAAACCTATTTAGTTTTTAATCTCTCAATTCAAACTTAAAAAACGAATTAATCCTGTAACTGTTACTACTACTGATGTCTCATCAGTGCTGATGGCTGGGTGACTGACGAAATCTCAGTACGGATACAGAAGGCTCGATTGGCTTTTGCCAACTTGCGTCACTTAAGGCGTAGGCGAGATATCCGTTTGTTAACCAAATGTCGAGTCTACTGCGCAGTAGTTCGCTCTGTTCTACTATATGGATGCGAAACATGGCTAGTCAGAGTAGAAGATATTCGTAGGTTACTAATATCCAATCATAGATGTCTTAGAAGCATTGCTCGTGTATCGTGGGACAACCGAGTAGGCAATGCTATAGTTAGGAAACGAGTACTAGATAAGGATAGCAGAGCAATAGATGAAGTATTGGAACCTCATCAATTGAGGTTGTTAGGATACGTTTTACGAATACCCAACCACCAATTGCCTCGATGAGCGATGTTTTGTAGTGTATCAGTAGGTTGGAAAAAAGCCATGGTTGGCCAAACCAAAACATGGCAAAAATGCATGAAGTCACTGACAAGTGGACTGAGTCATGTTGGCAGGTGTAGACTACCTGCTTGGGGTTCGCGAGATGATAGCAATCCATGCACATATATATATATATATATATATATATATATATATATATATATATATATATATATATATATACGATTAATACAATTAAATAAGTAGACGTCTGTCAGTTCACAGGAAAAAGAACAGCTAATGGCGATGGATGTAGAGAAGGTAATTTTTTATCATTGTTTGAGGAATGACAGTTAACTGATATCGAAAGTCGACTAATGTTTGTTCGGCTGGGTCATCAAGATGAGCAAGCCCGACCACCACGTCAAGGTAGCAGCTACGGTCAGGAAAATTAAAAGAGTTGTCTTTTCTTGTAAAAAGATTAGCAGGTGTTTTTTCTCGTGCTTAAGGTTATTGTTTGGTAGGATTTGTTTGTGACCGATTTGGCCTTGTTTGCTGTTACGGATATGAGGGCGTTCGTCACTTCCCGGCTGCCCACATAGTGGGAGGGTGTTTCTTGAGAAGCCTGGAAAGGAAGGTAGATAGACTTGTGATCGTGACCGCAGATCCCAAAGGACAACTGTTTGAGGCCAGTCACGCTCAGACTTTTTATGAGAAGTTCTTTAGGTTCCGCTCTAGTTGAAAAGAGTCTTTAAGAAGGGGACGGAAATCCCTGAGGTAAGGGGAGGTGTGACATTTTTACGGCCGACACTTTCTAACCCCTTGCTTCCTTGTGAGAAGCCAGCATTGCTGCAGATGCTAGTTGTCCGAAGGAAACACCTTACTGCAGCTACTCAAGGTCTGAGGGCGAAGTCTTACTGCTGACTGTAGAGGGGTGTGACAGCACTAAGGTGTTTCTCTCGGATAACCAGCATCTGCAGCGATATTGCCTTCTCACAAGGAAGGAAGGGTTAGAAAAGGTCAACCGTAAAAATGTCACACCTCACCCTACCTCACGAATTTTCGTCTCCGGCAGTAAGGGTGCCCACTAAGGGCTTTCAAGAGCGGAGTTAATACACAAAAAACCCTTCATAAAAAGGGCGTGCGTGACCGGCCTCAAGCAGTTGTCCCTTGGGCTCTGCGGTCAAGCACCCAGGTCTCTAAGATCAACACTAATCTATGTTCCTTTTCAGGCTCCTCATGAAACAATCTTCCACGGTATGGGCAGCTGTGAAGTGGCGACCGCCCTCATACCCGTAACAGCACACGAGACCAAATCGGTCAAAATCAAATCCTTCCTACACCCACTATTAATTCTCTCTTATCTCCACGACTAACTCTGCTCACATTCTTTTATCACCCCGCACCTTTGCCGCAAACGATTCAAGTTCACGAAACGTCATTCCTGATCTCTTGAAACTTCGTTCTAAACTACATGTTGGAGCGTTTAATGTACGGACATTGTGTCAAATAGGGCAACAGGCTTCCTTAGCTAGAACTTTAGAATCTCGCGCCATCGATGTATGCTGCGTCTCGGAAACGCGCATACAGAATCCTAGTAAAATTATTAATTTGATTTCACCTTATCATAACAAAGAAGCAGCTCGATTTACTCTTCGTGTATCTGGGAGTACTGATGCTGCTTCTCGGGGTCCTGCCGGCGTAGGCATAGCATTGAGTCGTACAGCTGAACAATCTCTCCTAGACTGGATCCCTGTAGACAGTCGCTTGTGCGCTGCCGATTGAATGGGACAGTTAGGCCTCCGGAAGATAGAGACACTCGTCGTTGCCTCTTCGTCATATCTGCCTATGCCCCCACTGACTGCAGTTCAGACAAGGTTAAAGATGAGTTTTACAGAAAGCTTTCGGACCTCCTCCAAGAAGCTAGGCGCTCTGATATAGTTACAATGGCTGGTGACTTTAATGCTCAAGTAGGCAGACTAAGTGAGCAGGAAAGACACCTTGATGGATGTTATGGTGTCGCGGCTCAGAGTACAGATAATGGAGACCGTCTGTTGCAACTGTGCTCAGATAACCAACTATTTCTAACAAGCACTAACTCTAGGCATGAGGAGAGGTATCTGTTGACCTGGCAATTCCTAATATCGTCTCAACGTTGGGAACAACTAGATCACATTGCCATCAGCCACCGATGGAGGGGTTCGATAGTGGACTATCGCTCGTTCTGGGGCACATATTTAGATTCAGATAATCCCCTAGTGCGAGCAGATAGGTTGACTGAAATCTTAGGTAGAATCTGGGAACTGGACATAATCCCATCCGACTGGTCTCAATCACTGATTGTCCCAATCTATAGAAAAGGACAAAAGTCTTCTTGTAACAATCACAGGGGAATAAGTCTAATTAATATAGTTTCTAAATTGTTAGCCTCCACTATAATTAGACGCCTAACTAGTGCTCGTGAAGAGCAGAATAGAGAAAACTAGGCTGGTATTTGACCTGGACGTGGATGTATAGACCACATCTTCACACTGTAGTGTCGATTTACTGCGTGTTCTTAAGCTCGGTAATTAACTTGTTCAGACAATCGTTGCCAAATAGCGTCTGACGGTTTATAAATCAGAAGATGAATTCGTAGTGATGAATACGTTTATTCGGGACACACCACAAAGCGAAGCGGAGAAACAGTGAATAAAACGAATGAAGCGACGTGAACTGGAGAAGGCTTTCGAGCCAACTCCAAGAAATGGAGTATGACTAAGAATATATAGTCAGACAAAAATAAGACAGACATATGACAAGCGAAATAGGCATGCACAGACATGAATAAAAGCGACGAATGACTGACAAGGTCAAAGGTAAGCGAGACAAGTCATGTGAGTTCATAGGGGTATTAGGATATTAACATTAAAGCGAGAAGGATGAGTCAGCGCGTAGGCTAAGCAATGCTCAGTCGTACAAGCTCATACAAACCACATAATAAAAAATACCAATGGTACATATAGGTTGTTGCTATACAAATAGCGTCAAAAACTGTTTACAAAATAAGTTTGCCATGCCATCTCCACAACACTACGACAGGTCCTGGAACACAGAAACACATTTAAACGTCGACAATAGCTGTCTTCCTGGACCTTAAGGCGCATGTGACTCTGTGGATAGTGAGGTTCTGCGTCAGTGTCTGTCATTGAAAGGTGTACCAAAGAAGTACAATAGCCTTATAAAAGCTAACTACTCGAACACCACTGGTCGGGTGAGAGCCTATGTCGAACTTTCACCGGAATTCTTTACTTCAAGTGGTCTCCGTCAGGGATGTCCAGTCTCTCCATTCTTTTTAATTTTATCATAGAAATGCTGCTAGATATAACATTATCTTCGTCTGAATTTTCAGGAGTCGACTTTCTACCAGGAGGCTCGCTTGCTGACTTATAATATGCCGATGACATAGTCCTACTTGGTGAAGACGCTGACAAAATGCAGAGTCTTCTGACGACCCTAAGCAACAATCCAAGCACGTTCGGGATGCGTTTCTCCCCGTCGAAATGCAAAGTGTTGCTTCAAGATTAGGTTGCTCCGGTACCTGAACTAGTGATAGGGAGTGAAGTAGTCGAACGTGTAGACCGCTCTACTTATCTCGGGAGTCTCATCAGTGCTGATGGCCTCGTGACTGACGAAATCTCGGCACGGATTACACAATGTTGCATTTGAAGCTGATATTTTAAGAATTCACTGTTTAACGGATTGAATACAGTATTAATGGTTTTGTTAGTGGGACATAGATGGAATTAAAGCATGACTACGTTGCTGCGCGCTGATTGGCTAACTTCCTATTCAATCAGCGCCTGATCGATTCTTGGAGAACAGAGTAGAAAGTTCTCGTATTGTTGGCTGCACACTGATTGGCTAAATCTAATCCAGCCGATCACGTGAATTACTATTCAGAAGCTTCTCATTTAAATACTATAAATAAACTGACGTTGTATCTATTTTGCCTTCGTATTTCGATTTAACCTTGCTATTTGGAATATAATCTTTTCCTGTTCAACCATGTTTTTGATTCTTTGGAACTTGTCCAGTGTATTGTGGTCAGAGAATACTAAGCAATAGGAATTGGCTGGGAATTATTAAAGTAAGCATTACAACAGGTTTGTTCAGAAACAATTCAGTGATAATACTGGCTTTCGGAATTGATTTTTAATTGGTTACGTTTAAAGAAATTGTAGTGATCCAATGGTCCAAACTTATTACTCACCTTAAGTTTCAGAATACTAACATTTTCTTCAACTGAAATAGATTCACATTCTTTGACAGATAGTATGCTTTTTTTTAATTTATTTTCAGTCTTCATTATTTCGTCAGGGTTTTGCTTTTCTTTTGATTTCAACTCCAAGTTTAATTAATCTAAGCTTAATTCAGGTTGATCATTTGCATTCTAGAATTGAGAAACGCATGCACACACAAAATTTGAGTGTATGATATTTTGTTCACTGAGTTATATATATATATATATATATATATATATATATATATATATATTTCACAAGCTAATATAAACGGACTTTTTTCGCTCAATTGTTGTTCTTTCAGTACGGTTTCAGGTATTTGATATTGTTCACTCGATACTAGTCATGCCACTCGACTGCACTGATTCTAGTCAGTCAGTAGTTGTATATGAATCTGTATGTTTCGTAATTTGAGTGACTAAGCTTGTTTTGGGGCTGTAAGGTTTCTGGATACCAGCAGCTATCACGTTACCAGGGTTGAGATAAGTTAGTCTCAGTGTGGAGAACAATAAAGGGAAAATTCTAAAACTAGTGAGTGGATCTCAGAATTCAGTAAATAAATAAATAAGTTAGCTAATTAATTAGTAGTGAAGATAGTGTGAGACGACAGAAGTGTGGAGAGACAGTAGGAAACAGAGATGATGCTAAGTAAGGTAGAATAGGTAAGTGACCTGAGGAAGTGACAATGACAATAGCAAACAAGTCTCGAGATATGCATCAGATGGAGCTGGTCCAAGTGCGAGATGATAATTCATATTTCAGGTGTTTATCAAGTCTCATCTTGAAGCTATCCACCGAGGGGTTCTGGTCAGTTTGAGTGGCAGAGCATTTGATGTAAGGACAACTCCGGTGACAAAACGTTGTAGCATACCTGTGCGTTTGCTCTTTGGAGTGACATTTACCGAGGTTTACTTTGACGGGCGTGGCCGTGTTTTCATGTTGGGGGTGACCTGGAGTACTTAATATGTTGTATGCTGTAATCAGGTGAGTTAAAATTTGGAGAGGAATCGAGGCTAGGTGGCTCAGTTAATCAAACTTTTTCTTCAATGCGATGGCAGACGGAGCTTCAATGACAAGTTAGGGTAGCGAGTTACCTTTATTGACGATTCTATGAGAAAATCGGTAGTCAGCTGACTAGTAATTTGTTCTGAGCCTATGAACGTATTTGGAGCGTCCGCATAAATTTTCTGATTCGGAAGGTAAGAAAAATGAGGGCATGTCAGATGTGGACTTAAGTTGTTTAAACACTGCATTCAAGTTACCTCTAGTCCTTCTTTATGATAAGTGAAATCAGTTTAATTTAATCAGTCTCTCATTATACGACAGTAATTTCGGAAATCAACTTGATTCAGGTTCTTTGAACGTTTTCCAACAGCTCACCATCTTTTAAAAGACAGAGGCTGGCTCTTTGTATGCAGCACTCAAGTTGAGGACGGAAAAATAGAGTTTACAAAGTCAAAAACGTTTTGGCAACGATATGGCTAAAGGCTCTACGTATAAACCACAGGGTTCCGAAACCTTTGGCGGCTACCGCAAGGCAATTTGGAGTAGTTTTAAAGTCCTGGCTAGTGATGACATCTGGGTGTGTGTCTGTATAACAAGTAGTGCATTGTTATTCACCGCGTACTTATCCGTACCCTGCTAACCAATACGCATCATGTTGCACTTGGAAGCGTTTACCGGTAGCTGCTAGATTCCATACCATACAGATAAATTCCGTAGGTCACTTTGAGTCGGTAGATTATCACTCTCCATATCTTGATATCGTCAGCATATTACAGAACCGATGAAGATGTGAGATTCAGGTCATTTACATACAAGAGAAACAACACTGGTCCTAAAACTGTACACGGAGGCACCCTCCTAAGCACAGTTTCCCAGCTAAAAAATTGGGGTTGACTCGGACCTTCTGTTGGCGTCCGATTAAGAAATCCTTAACCCACACAAGTTATTTGCCTCCAATCCCGATATCACTTGACTTGAAAAAACCCGTTGTGAGGGACTTTGTCGGAAGCCTCCCTAAAGTTAATGAAGGCTACATCTATAGGTAAATTTTAGTGGTTGAAAGCGTACCAACTTCATAGGCTACTAACAGGTTTGCGAGGCATGAATGGCCTTTTCTTAAGCCCTGTTGCTTCTCACAACCAAGCTGGTTAGTTTCACGGATAGGCAGTTCTCAGGTTCATGTCTCTCAACTGTTCTGAAGACACGACTTACTACGGTGTTCTTCTAGTCTTTTAGTGATCTACCTTAGTTTACAGATAGATTAAAACATACGCTTGAGGGATTTGCAATGAAATTCGTAAGTTCCTTGAGCAATCTATGATGCAGTTCATTGGGTCGCATAGATTTGCTTGAATCAAGCTTACTCAACCAATTGAGGACATCGAGTTCCTAAATAGCCAAAGTATCCAGAGTGTGTGGAGGGATTTTTTGTGAACTGAAAGGAGAAGCATCCTTTGGTATATAAATCGCAAAGTAGTTTGAAAATACTTGAGCGTTAACATAATCGTCTTCCGCCAACAGTGCAGTACTAATGTCTCTCATAATACTGGTAATCTGCCTCTTCTCTTAGTTCTCTAGTTTGTGTTGCAGTAAAGGCATTTCGGATACTATATAGACGCCTTTATTAGTTTCTCTTCAGACAATCTTATAGACTTGAGGGCGGTTGAGGCACAAATACATTGGGTTTCTTGATATTGAGACTTTGTCTTATCAGTGCAAAATGTCCTAAATTTCTTCCATATTCTTTTCCTCTTAGGAGACGAGCGATTACCTTCTTACTGAACCACGGTGGGGAATTTCTTAGATTCCTTGTTGTAGTCCAAGGAATCTGAGTTTTTATAAATTAACTTCTGAATACCTACAAAGCCGTTTCAACGAGGGATCCGGGTGCTCATGTTTAGCCTACTGAGTGTGTAGTTTATCGCTTATCCGCCCTCCGAATATTTGGTCTGACCTGAGCTGACCCATCGTAGTGGATGACGATATGAAAATCAAAAACTAGTACTACATGGCTACTCTTGCCCAAAGGGCGACATTTAATCAAGATACAAGACATTATCCTCCAAATCAGCAATATGAGACCAAGTAAGGATGATTTTAAGTCCGGACCGTACCTAGTTGTTACTTTTACATATTGTACTTGGGAATGTGTATTAGCCGCATCAGCTAGCTTCTGTTTAAAAGGATTTTCTGTCAGTTCAGTACTTAAATTTTTCCAGTCTACCAAAGGTGCGATAAAGTCCTCAAAATCGAAGACTGAGAACCAATTATTGAGCTATTTAACAAGACCTTATACACCTCACAATTTGGGCTATAGCAAACAAGGCCAATCAGCAGCTTTTTTCCTCTGAAATAATTTGCACGTCGCACCGTCATGGGATATGTTGCCGACAATGAGAGAGTGGATGGTATATCTAGTGAATAGGGCTAATCACCCCTTTACGTTACCGGATTCTGTCGGTTTCAGCTGTGAAATTTTCAAAACCAAGTTCACTGATGTCTACAGACTGAGGCAGTCTTGTTTATGCGATGGCAGTTACATCCCGCCTAATTGTCTGCTTGTACACCGAGCTTCGAATAACACTTAAATGACTTCGTACAGCACTCATATGTCTTCGGCACTAATCTTTGTCGAAGCCTCATTACCCAAAAATTTACAATTGTAAGGTCCTTCTCGCCAGCATCCAAACCTTAATTTTAGTTCTTTTATAGCCTCTCATTATCTGATACGGTACGCAAGTGATAAGTATTCACAACAACTGGTTTTTTCAGTCTATATCCATTTTGTAGTATTTAGTCACCTTCGCCAGGAGATTCAAATACTACTTCTAGTAACCTAGTTTTATTCTCCTTTGAGTCCATTAAGCTTCCGATTCTATAAAATTTCAGTCAAGTGACCCCAGGGATGCCATGAGTCATTGGTGTATTCAGTAGACCTATCAACATGAAATCATGCTGAAAGCGGATTATGGGCTCAGAGCTGTCTCTTTCCTTTACTCTGTGAATGATGGCTGGCCAGTTACTGTGATCAGTTTTCGGTTTCAGGACTGTAGTTGTGGGAACTGAATGTAGGTGCATATGTCAAATACGCACAAACTTCATGGTACTACACTTTGCAGTCATCAGACTGAAAGAAAATTTCAACAAGGTATCAACAGTCCAAGAGTTGGTACACGCTAGTTTTATACTGTCCAGTAATCGAGAAGAGGTCTCCAGAAGAAGAGACATATAGGTAAAATAAATTGATAGTCAGAGAAAAGCGAACCATGGAATATTAGGTCAAAACATGCAGAAAACAAAGAAAAATCAATAGACTCCATAAAACGATGTAAAAATTACGCATAAAATGAGAGCAATGTTACTTCAACTGAAATTAGATCAATTAGGTTTAGGAACCGTATATTTTATGCGGTGTGTCACCTCTTATTTCTTTACAACTCGGTGAGAATTATCCCAAGTGTAAGAGTCATCCTTCGTAAGGCATATCCTTTAACGCTATCACGCATTTAGTTGTTTATCTCTGCACTCGATCCAAGAGATGTATGTCTCTTAACGAGGTGTGCGACGACGTTGTGGACTTCAAGGTGTGGGCGTGCGTATATCTTAAGGAGGGTTTAGGACAATTGAGGGGTGATTGCATCAATTTGTCTTTGCATAGATGGTATCCTGTAAAACTCCTGATGTTGAGAATCGCCAGTTTGTTGACAACAAAGTTTTACACATAATAAAGCAATTTATTAGTTTTTGGTGCAATAAGCGTCCATAGATCACAGTTATTTACACAGAAAAGACTCATATACTCGAAGATAAAACTTACTTTCATGTTAAAAACGAACAGAAATTCTTTCTAACTGAAGCTTTCGACGTTACATAGTTCATATTTATACATCCATACTCCGAATAAAGCGCCCGTTGAATTGATTGACGGAAGTACCTGAAAAGATAGCACTCAGGAGTGTATTCCTTCCAGCTGAAACACATATAACTATCCCGACTCACTTTTGAATTATGCACGTCTAAAATATACCAACACAACCTCAAATCACTTTAGTCAAAACTC